GATTGAAGACTGCTGATTAGATGTTCAGTGGTCCCTTTATGTGTGACTTGACTTCTTCGAGTTTTTTCAGAGGTCGATATATTGTTTTTGTCTTGAGTGGCAAGCAAACATTTGAGTTGGTGGCCGGTCAACTTCAAATCAAGCAGTAGTTTGGCAGGCATTGAACAATTCACAAAAAAATACTCTAAGCTGTTTAAACATACGAAAAAGAACTCTGCAAACCCCACAACTTTGCCTGATGACAGTCCAACTAGCTTAATGCTAACACACAATGCGAAACACCATGGACAGGCTAATGAAACTAGCATCAATACCACAGTGTAACATTCCTCGAAGCAATGTTTGCTCCCCCCCCCCCCCCCCCCACACACAACGATGGCTCAAGAAATGCAAAAGACAGTATAACAAATTACCATATTCGCTTTATCCTCCACAAATGACGACTAATAGCTTGACTTGAATATGAGCGCATGTTACTGAGCAATGGTAACCATCTCTTTCATGCTTGTTTACTTTATTCCACCCGCGCTCCCGCACTAAAAGGAATAAAAATGCCCCACAGCCATTCCAGCCTCCCAAAACAAACCAACAAAAAAAAAAAAATCTTTTGCCGTTTTAGTACAAACAATAGCGCTCTCCAATAATATAAAAACATACAGTAATGAGATAATGAAACAGAATGTCAGGAGGTGTTTTTTATGTTTGTTTTGGGTTTTTTATTCCCCCCCCAATAGACATGGGGATGCTTTTTCTGGTGTGTGCGCCTTGGCCACCTGGGGGCAGTATAATACAGACGCACGTTGACATAAAAGAGACGGTCACAATTGCTCAGTAAGCCGCAGTAAGATGACTCAGTGGTCACAAAAGGCTATTGAGAATACTGACTTTTGTTTAACACCGTTTCAGTTCAAATCGCCGGTGTTTGAGGGCTTATATCGATCATAGCGTGAATGCTAAATTCATTAGCTTGTCTTTGGCATTTGGCATTGAAGAGAGTTTCCTAAAGCAAAGCGATGCGGTCGTTTTAAGTCAACATTTGCACTCCAACTGGGAGTTCACCCAATGACGGTCTGGATCGGCAAAAAATTTGTAAGCTGTATCCACGTGCATCTCGAGGCGCCGCCGTACACCCCCCACCATGCCTTATCCGCAGGCAAACGAAATCTAATCCAAAGATTTTCGCCCTGTACCGAGCGTTCGCTTCTGTGTCGCATGTCGAAGGAAACCCGGCGCGGCGCCGCTTGACTTTCGTGCTGCTCGAAGCGCTCGAACGAGCGTGTGCACAAAAGCGCGCGAGCGGCCATTGATCAGCGCACCGCGCAATCAAAGACGGGATTGGAGGAAGGCAATCGATCAAAGGGGCTCCGCCGCGTGGGGCGGGAAAAGCTGGTGTGTTTAAAAAAAAAAAAAAAAATTAAAAGAAGAAGAAGAAGAGGCTTTTTATCAAACCTGACAGCCACACACACACTCACACACACACAGCGATTGAAACAAAACAAACACACACACACACACACGCACACACACACACAGCAGGGCTTTGACAGGATGGTGCCCACGCAGCCAAAACACAGACATGCCGACACACAAGCTGCAAAGGGAGGCGGAGGTGGCAAAACCAGGACAGGAGGGGGGGGGAGACACAAAAACAAAAAAAATGAGGAACCAAGAATGTACAGAGCAAGGAATAAAATATTCTTAAACAACCACCTTGAAAATTTGACGCCTTTCAACATGGCTGCCGAGGAGGGAAGTCAATCGGTCCTTGTCACTTCCTGTTTGGTGGCGACGCGTCTTTTTGTGAAATCGGGTTAGGACGCCAAGACGTGTTGCGCTAGCTTGTCATGCTAACTGTGCTCAGTGGCCATGTGGATCATTCGGCAAATCATTTTTGGGGCCACAAAATAAGATTTTTTTTTTTTTCCTTCTGAAAATCCAATTACATTTGAGTAATGTCTCTCAACACATCTTTTTTTCAAAACATTTGGTTGTTAATGTTTCCAAAGAGGTCAAAATTTTCAAAATGTCAGTCATTCTACGAAACTTCAAACTCAGAAAAATGTTTTTCTACTTTGATATTATACTTTCAGGAAAAAAAAATACATTTGACTGCAAATCGTGTCAATCGGACTTTGTTTGACAAAAACGGATGAAATATGTACAAGATGTCAACAAAAATTCTCATAAAAAAAAAAAGATTTAATTAACTTAAAATTTCAATAACCTGTTTTCAAAGGATATGAAATATAAGTCTGTTTTTCCAACAAGTCTAAAATTCTTAAATCTTAAAAAAAAAAAAAAAAAAGTGAACATAAGACCAGAATTTACTTTTGTACTTAACTGGAGACATGACCACATGACAGATTTTTTTTCAGTGTCCTTCTGACAGAATTGAAGCCATTTCGATTCATACGATGCACTTGGGAGTTAAGATGACTTCACTTCCTGTCTTGTAAAAATTCCAAACGCCGATCCAACTTGTGTGATTTGATTTTCCGCAGTATCCAATCAGCACAAACAAAGTTCTCCTGCCAATCACAACAACAAATCCGGAAAAGTAGAACAGGGAGGAGAAGACGTGACAAATTTCTTGTTTTTGTTTTAAAAAAAAAAAAAAAAAAAGAAAGAAAAAGACAGCTGCTTCTTCTGCACTAACAAGGAGGAGTCGGCAGACGCGTGCATGCTTTCAAACCACTTCCTGTGAACTAGTCTTATTTTTATCACATCCGACTCCGACAACTTTTTCCCGACACTTTGTGGCGGGAAAGTTCAGCCGGAGTTGACGTGGCGTCGGAAAGAGATCGGGATTCACAACAACCGCTTTGATGTCTCATTGTTACCACGGCAACAAAGGAGGATGCTTTTCGGAGGTGCGCTGGTCTGAGGGTGTGCGTGCGCCTGGCCTCCCTCGGGCCAGGGGTACCAGATGCGCCCGGCTCGGTCGCCGCGGCTAAAAATATCGATGTGCACACGCATGCACGTGGAACTAAAACACACACACATACACACGCCAACAATCACGCAGTAGTGTGGTGTAAACACGGGACACGCTAAGAACACTCCTCAAGAGCGGGGGGGGGGGGGTCTACGGAGGGACGCGATGACAGCACTCCACTACGACCGACTTGGACTTCCTGTTCGCACTTCCCTGACAGAGAGGTGACAGTTCAAGTCCGCAAAGGCAGTTTCTGGAGCCGGGCCTCCCCCGCCTTTGGCCGCCGCCCAGCTCAAGACACATAAACCCCGATGGGCCCCCTCATATTAGGCGAGCCCATGGGAAGGGGGACCGCGTTGACCTTTTGGATGCACTCCATTTGTTATGTGTTCGATTTGTTTTCTATGATGTCATTTTTAGTCGACGGCAAGTGGCAATATGCGTTTTTGAAGTTGTTTATTGTCCATGAAAAATAATGAAGCTAGCAAATTCATTATAGGGAAAAAAATTTCCAGCTGAAAATGGAAAAATTGGGAAAGTATCCCTTTCCAAAAAAAAAAATGGATCTGCTATTTTGACAAACTATCAAATAAGAAAAAAAATGGTCCAATTTTTCGACGCAAATGAGAAGGGCGGTCATTTGAATCTTTCTTTGACGACATCAGGCGGCAAATTCGTCTTTTGGCCGGTCGAGCAGACGAAACGTGGCGCGCGCTAACAAGCTAGCATTGGGCAAAGTGACAGAGCAGACGCGGCGTCAGATGTTGTTTTTCCAGGAACATCCTCCACCTTCTTTGTTCCCTTTTGCCGCTCGGGGAGGGGAAGGCGCGAGCGAGCCAAAAAGCCGGCCCGTCGCCACAATAACACGAGGAAATGAGAGTCAATGAACGAGAGCCGGCCAGCCAGCCACCAAAGGAAATGAGGAAGAAATGAAGAAAGCCAGGAGCTTTGATAAGGGACAACGCAGCCCAGCATGTGGAAGAAGCTTTTCTTTCATCTTCCTCCTCGTCTTCCTCCTCGCCCACTAGCTGCAAAAAAGCCAAACATCACGCTCCACCCGCAATTTGTTCCACATTGCTGCAATAAACGCCAGGAAATGGCAACAGGTGACGTTATGCTTGCAAGAAAGAATGGTCAAAATTGTGAGAAGATGCACGGAATGCAGTATGAAAGGTCGTCTGGAGGAACATAAAGACTGCGTTCGGAAAAAAAAAAAAAAAATCACAACCAATTGATGTGGGGTGGGGGGTGGAATTTATATTCATGCTAATTTAAAAGAATATTTAAAAGAAAGCAGGCTTGCGTCAGGTGAAACGATACGATTTGGTTGGCGAGTCAATTTGACCAGAAGGTCACAGGAAAGCAAGATGGCCGCCAAGGCGCCTTTGCCACCTGCTTACTTTTTCTTTTCATGAATTTCACCTCTAACGTGTTACGTCTGCACGCACATCAGGGTGTCGGGGATTGAGTGTGTGTGTGTGTGTGTGTGTGTGTGTGTGTGTATAATAACCCCCCTGGTGTTGCACAGCTGTCGAGGGAGTGTTGGGGCGTAATCATGCCAATGTATCATTTTGTGTGTGTGTTTGAGTGTACGTCTCGTCTGTCAGAGAAGTTCCCTAATTGTGGATAAATGATGGCAGCAAACAGTTGGCTAACTCGTCACAGGAAAAAAAAAAAAAAATATCAGGAAGTCAAAGAAAAGCTGATTTTTTTGTTTGTTTTTTTGTTTGCATTTTGCTTCCGAACTGTACTCTTAACTCGGCAAAAGAGTGCAAATGTATGTGTGTGTGTGTGTGTGTGTGTGTGTGTGTGTGTGTGTGTCTGTCTGTCTGTCTGTCTGTCTGCGTGGGTAAGTGCGATCATGTGAAAGACAGGCAGCACTGTAGGGCATCACCTTGGCAGAGGTATTAAATCTTTTTCATCCTCTCCCCAGGCTGTCGGCAGAAGCGGGAAGACAGATTTACTTTCTCTCTCGGACTTACACACACACACACACACACACACACACACACCCACACACACACACACACACACACACACACACACACACACACACACGCACACACAGTGTATCTCAACATGTTCCTAGTAAAGTGTCAGCAGCTGACACCAGGCAGAACAATTCACCCTGGCAGGTGCTGAATGCGCACAAAAAAAAAAGAAAAATTTCAAATGTGGCTCAAGTGCAAAGTAGCAGCAACCTCCCCAAGCAGGAAAAACTGAGAGATGACCGAATTCTTTTGTCCAAAGCATTTCGGTGTCATAATCGTAGGAGATGATGTCATGTCAGCAGCTTTTTGTAAACAAAGGCTTCTGATTGGTCCTTTCTGTGACTGGCGCGCTGCATGTGAGTTCATCTGTTTGTGGCATCTGACGAGATGGAGCGCAGACTTGAGGTGTGGATTGTAAAGTTTGCCAAAACTGTGCCTGTCACTTGTTAACAAAAGGTAAGAATGTTTCAAATATGCACGCGTGTGTGTGTGTATATATGTTAACTTAGATGAATGGTTGCCGTCAACCTTTACCAGCCTGGTATCGACGAACTTTTTGTTCACTAAAAGTTGGTCTGAAGTCTCTGACACACACGGACGCACGCATGAATTTAGATTAGCTTGAGACACGATATTGAGTTTGATTACAACTATCAAAATGTCACATAATATCAGTGTGTGGACATCTGTTGACAGTCGCAACTAGTAGAAAGTTGACGATAATGCCCGTGTGTGTGTGTGTGTGTGTGTGTGTGTGTGTGTGTGTGTGTGTGAAGGTTGCAGAAGTAATTTCAAGGAGCACTTTGAAAACGCGCCACACAGCATTAGCGGCCTGACGGATGCTAAAAGGATTACGGCGGCCGCAAAAAGCCGCCGACTGTCCTCTTGAAATTTGGGCCCATGAAGAATTCATGACGCATCAAAAACGGGTCGTCGGGCCTGCGTGTTCGCTGACGCCCCCCGCCCCCCCCCCGACTTGCGCCAGATGTTTGCTGTCCAAACGTGCGCACGCAGATATGCGCCCGCACTCGTGTGCACGGCGTGCCTTAATGCTCATTTAGCGCCGCCGTTTCAGCAAATGGAATTTTTTTTTCTATTACTCATGTGCCATGATATCTATTTTTTAAATTCTTATATTTATATTGACTCTGCAATTTTAGAATGTTTTAATATTATCCGAGCCGCAGATTTGTGGACATTATTCAAACGCTAATGCTGACCTAGTTTTGCGTCTGTGTACTATCGCAACAACGATGAAACGCTTTCCAGTCGAGAAATAAACCGAACGGTACGCAGTCATGGTCGCCCATTAAGCGTGCATTATTACATTCTAGGCTGTGCACAAATCGCTGCTGACTAACCCCACAATTTGGGGATTGACTCACAAGGTATCTAAGAACAACAAAACAGCTCAGTCACCCTCGTTCCGAATAAAGCACGAATCGGTAGTGACTAGAACTGCGATCCAGATTGACCCAAAAAAAAAAAAAAATTGGAATCTAACTTTTGCAGATACGCAAGAACAAGCTACTTCAGTTCCTGCAACTGTTGCCACTTGAGTGCAAATCTGGAATTCAACTGAGCTCTTGGTAAGTCGACGCAATAACTCTTGATGGTGACAAATGAGTCAAATCCAGTCGCAAGACTCCAAAAGTCCATTTTGCCGTTTGTGGCTTGTGTTAAAACAGCATTACATGATGAACTTTTCAAGCGGGTTAAGCTGCCACTTTGTCTCACGCACTCGGAATGCTAATCAACAGATGTCATCGCGCGCTAAAGGAGGATTAGCTAGCGCAGGTGCTTTTGAAAGGCTAACACTAACACACCAAGTGGATATCAGTGGAGAGGAAGACAAAATTTAAAAAAAAGGATGAGCGGCGGCGCAGCCTGCCAAGACGACAACAGAAGTGCGGATAGAAAAAAAAAAAAAAAAAAAGGGAAAAGAATAAGCGCTTGTCCTCGCGCTCACCCCGGCTAATATCGCTGGAGCCATTCTTCTTGTTAGCCGTTTCATTTCTCCAATCTGCACGTTGACGACAACAACAGGCACCTGACGCCTCATCTTGCCTTTGTGGGGGACTAATGCAAAAACAAACAAACAAACAAACAAAAAAAAAACATGCTGCTGTGGACTCACCACAGACCAAAACAAGGGCAAGACTTTTAGGGGTCGACCAAGACAAAACACGACCATGACCAGGACAAGACCTCTGGATTGCCATCAGCTGGTTTTAACTTGCCGATAGGAGGACTCTGGTTGGATGAACTGACATTTGCACACGAGCATGGCAAGGTCACGTGACTGATAATAATATCTTGAGTGTTCATATCTCGATTTCGATACGATAAATATATATCGCACAGGCCGAGTAGCTAGATAGCTAGCTTGGTGGGATGCTAACTGGGTAGGTAGAGCGTAGGTAGATAAGTCGCAGTCTTGCTAGCTAGATAGCTAGCTTGGTGGGATGCTAGCTAGGTAGGTCGAGCGTAGGTAGACAAGTCGCAGTCTTGCTAGCTAGGTAGCTAGCTTGGTGGGATGATAACTGGGTAGGTCGCGCGTAGGTAGACCAGTCACAGTCTTGCTAGCCAGGTAGCTAGGAAGGTAAGGCTGCGAAATCTGGACACTCTTTGAACGTGGCGCTGCTGTGCAAAAGGTTCAGTCCACGTCACATGGTTTACAGGCGCCATGTTATTTCTATTCCATTGCCTTGAGTTAGCCTCGAACAGTTTTTGGCCCTTTTAAGTGGAATTTGGGGGAACGTAGTATGTGCCCGAACTGGTCAAAACACGAACTTTTTTGTTGAAAATGCTTCTTGGCAGTGTATTCCATCTGATTCATGAATTCAGATCTTCACTCTTTGCGGGCTGGCCAGGTTCCTAATCCTTTCACAGTAACATTATGCAATAACTTTTATACAAGTGGTATTAGGGAAGAAAAGGAAAGAATGCGAGCCGCCATGCTAACGCAAAAGTTTGCCTCGTTTTGGGTTCTATTTTGATTTTTGCTTTCTCATCCTCGGCAGAGCAAACCGCAGCGGCAGTAGCAGGACAAGAGCTGAAAAGAGAATCACACACGCGCGCACGCCTGTGATGGATGAGCGTCTGCGTGGGCGTGGCTGCAACACAACTAATAACAACAAGCGCGGCGACGGGCGGACAAGACGAGATGCAATCGAGTCATGTGACCAAAACCTCTTTGAGAGTCTTTTGAGGCACCGACCACAACAACAAAGTCATTCACCTCAGGGAGTAGACAAGGAAAAACCACAAGAATACACGTATACACACACACACACACACACACACACACACACACACACACACACACACACACACACACACACACACACACACACACACACACCCGTGCGCGCGGCGCACGTGAGTCAGGCTTTAATTACCTCTCCCAGGAATATCCGATGGCAAACGGCTCTTAAACAGCCAGCTGGGATGAAGAGGAGGAGGAAGAGGAGGAGGATGGAGGGATGGCGGAAGGAAGGAGAGAACACTGAAAGGAAAATGGAAAGAAAGGGAAGAATGCGGCGAGAGGGACAAAAGAGGTCACACAGGATGGTTTTGACGCCTTGTACCCTCTGCAGTTGAGTAGTGCAGCAATCTGAGCTTGAGAAGTCATTTTAGGCTTCGTGATGAATAAAAAAAGTTTTACGGTCCCCCCCCAACTGAAATGACACTATTTGAACCGGAACAAAATGAAGGAAAGCCATATTAGAAAACAATGTATAAAAAGTAATTATTGATATTCTTTTTTTTTTTTTTTTCAAGAGGCGCCATCATTTCAAAGCATGAAATCAAATTACAAAATGAAAATGTGTCTCATACAATAAAATGAATGTTTCAAAAATGACGGATGATTCTATTACCCAAAAGGGAATTTCATTTTCACAGTTATTACATTTAAAAATAGTTCTCTTCAGTACAAACGTAATAATTGAAAATTACAAGAAAATACATTAATCACATTAAAGGACTAACATTTTCAATTATATCGAAATGTCACATCTTCTTTTTGCATAGCTGCAGCTGTGGTGAAAGCGCTTTATCAGTCTTTTTGTCGAAATATATAATCATTAGAAACGATATTAAATACTTTAAAAACCGTTTCCTTTTTATTACATTTGTACACTTGGCTCATTTTTTTTTTTAAACAGTCGCTATATTAATTTGTGCCTTGTTTTTCTACATACGTATGTCATATTTAAACTTGAATTAAAGTGTAAATGTCAATCGTCATGAAATTCAATACAGAACAAATCGGGAACAAAATTGAAGTCCAAAAAAATGTCATAATATTGACCAAAAATATTGCTTTGATTTCAAAATATTTTAATAAAATGTATGACAGTTTCAATATTTTCCTTCATCTTTGTTGTTGAATGCAAACTAAGTAGCGAGGAAAAAAAATAAACCAATCCGACGAAAATACTAAATTGTGCAATTAAAAAAAATGGAAGAAGCAAAGGTGAAGCTCGAGGAGGAGCAAATGGCGGCTGGTTGAAAACGAAGGAAAGGGAGGAAGAGGACGCAGGGGAAAACACTGGAGTGATGAAGAGGTGGAGGTGGGAGTCCTTATCGGAAAAAAGCAGACACCTTTATCTGCCTGCCCCCCAGTCACACACACACACACACACACACGCACACGCACACGCACACGCAGTCATCAGCGTGACACTACTGAGCGCTAGCCATTCGCCACGTAATAGCATGAAAACATCCCCTACTCAAAGTCAAAAGTATTGGGACACGTACAAGTCTTCAGTGCAGTACCGCGTTGTGCCACAACATGTCCGGCAGCACTGAGCGCGCAAGAAACACCCGCGAGGATTTTTTTTTATGCGACCTTTCGTATGTGTTGACGCTCGTTGTGTCAAGTTCAAAGGTTTAAAGTTATCGAAACAGTGACGCTTTGTTTACATTAGCCTGTCTTCGCATCATATGTTGCCATGAAGCTAGCTGACTTTCATTTGACAAAACATTTTTGGTTTTGAAATGTAAACTATTGGATCTGTTTTATGGCGTTTGTATGCGTTGCTGCGTCGTGTGTGTGAAGTAGCAGTTGTTGACGGCTGAACATCGACGCTAATTTCTGATAGCTTAACTCTTTTCCAAAAAACATGGAACAGATTTGCATTTCTCACAGCTAAAATTTGAACACACTGTGTCACGTCTTGAGTGGAATTTATACCTTGAGCAAACGGATGTTTGGCTGAGCCCCACCCACCTGGGTCATCAACAGACAGGAAAGCAAATGCACACACGCACGCACACACACATACACACACACACAGACACACAACCAAACAGGTGAGCAAGAGGTGCCATTTTGAGGCCGTGAATAAGCATTCACACCCAACAAAATGTCAGATGGGAGGACAGTGGGCACTGCCCAAATGTCAGCCGCCCGTGTCCAGTAATGCATCTGATGGAGAGGCAAATGTCAGCTGTTGCTCAAAATGGGAGCGGGCGACGCCAGGCCACGTGTCCCGCTGATACGACGCACTAATGGCACT